CCAGGGTGGACACTTTCAATTGTCTCTCTACAGGAGTGTGGCACTAGAGCATATGATGGCTGTGTCCTTGCTCTCCAGCTGTTCAGGGATTCTCAGCATTTGTCATAGACCATTCAGCAACTATATCAATATAGAGATAGAAAAAAGTAGAAAAAGCCCCAAGTAAACAATACCAGATATGACTACAAAGTGACATAACGAAGTTCGCAAACTAAGCAAGGGAATCTTAGGCACAGGTTTCTAAGTCAGGCTTACATGAATGATCAGAGACGACAAAGGCTGCCTCGTTTTGCTTAGTCATTTGGATTCCTCTCTCACTGTGTCTCTGTCTCTCTTCCTCTCTCTCATACACACCCCTCAGGGTATCCATCCTGGTAACATTCTAGAGTAGCACAACTGGTTGGGGATGAGGAAGCTCTCCTTAGGTTTATTCCTCACTCCATTGCCTCTAGCTCCTTTAGCTCTAACTTGGGCTTGGATAATGCTCCTTTTCTGAACACATCTTTAACTCTTTTCCCGGAATCTCCATTCTGTTTCCCAGCACAGAAGCCAAGGCTTTTCTGCAAATGTGAAATGCCCTGGACGACTAGAGGGTGATACCTTTGTTTCCCCTCTATAACACCGACTAATTTCATTTCAGCCCTCTGTGTTCAGAGCATTATCAGCTTCTTTTCCTATAGAACCTAAATGGAAAGAAAAAGAAGATAGGATTGGAGGAAGGGGACATAGCAACAGCATTTTCTTTTATTGGCTCCATACAGTTAAGATGGTGGTGAAGTGTCTGAGGTTGCCTAGTAGAGATACATGCTTTTCCAGCTTTTCCAGTGTTCGAGGGTAGAGGAGAGGGTGTGTGACTTTTATGATCATGAGCAGAGCAAGGCGAAGGAAGAAAAATCCTTGCTGGAAGCCTCTGGTGAAGGCAGCTGTAGGAGACCAAGACCAACATATGTAGGTCTGAAAGAGAAAGAGCACTGGTTTGACTGAGCGGGGGCCCTGCCAGAACACCAGCAAGAGGCTCTGCCCCCTACAGCTTCCAGCTCATCCTTGCACGGAGATGACAGTCCTGAGCCTCTTCTAGTCTTCACCTTGCTAAAGATCCTGCTGTTGGCCAAATGAGGAGTGAGTGGGACTGGGGTGGGACAGGGGCCTGCCAATCCTTCCACTGTATTCTAGGTTGGAACTCAGTAAACATACCCCACAAGACATTATAACCTCATCTATGATGATTAAGTTCCACAGTCCTATATTATGATCTCATAATCTTCAGGCCTGGGAACTTACTATGGATAAGTGTCTATAGCATTGATTTACAATCACGTATAGGTTGCCAAAGGTCCAAAATGATTTTTGTGAATAATCCAATGTATTCTCTTTATTTTGTAATATACTTCTTCCATAGTAACTGTGGGTATTTGATATTTTTTGTCAAAATTTTCAGTGCTCTCGAGAGGAAAATTTCTTGTAAGATGGTTCAAATAGAACAGTTCTGTAATATCTATGTTCTGGTAGCGAATCTCAAACAAGGATGTGTAAAGTTCTATCATGTAGCAGTTGAGATCATGCTTGAGTTTTGGCATTAGAGAGATCAGGACTTTCTCTGTGTGGCTGTGTGGTCATGAGAAATTACTGACCCTCCCAGCCTTGGCTTCCTCATCAGTAAAACCCAAACGTTAGTCCCTATTTTGTAAGGTTTTTGGGAAGACTAAGTGAAACCATATATATACACACACATATATAATGTTATATACATTATATAAACCATATATTATATTATAAGATATATATCTTTCATCTATAATTGTATCATAAGTAACTGATAAAAAACACTGTAGTACATTGTGGAATACTTAAGTAAACTGTTTTGAGGGTTATGTTAGTAACTATTAGTTGACAAAATGGGTGGAACTATTGTGACTCAGTGCTCATCAAGAAACTGGGGAAAGGCAAAGCACTTGCAGACTTTTGAAGCCCGTTTCTGCAGATGTAAACAAATTTCAGGAAAATTGTTTTTTATTGCTGATGCCATAATTTAGATAAGACCATGCTAGACCTTGAAAAGAGAATTAATTCGTAAGTATTTAAAAATGAATTGAGCTAGCACTATTTCTGTCTCATTTTGTTGCCAGTATTTTCAATGCTCAAGATGAGGGTCAATTTTTAACAGCTGAAGATTTGGCTGTGGCATGGATATTCATCAATCACACATCTGTAAGAACTACTGTATTTCGGGGCTTGAGAGACTCACTTGAGAAATGCGTGTTTGCTGATGATGTTTCAAAGTAATTTCACAAGGAGCACATTGGAAGTCATTTAGACATATTAAGTCACTTAATGAACATTATATTGAAGTCATAATCTAAATTTTAATGCAGTAGTGTTTTCTACCGGGTTAGAAAGGTTTTTTATTTATTTTTTACTTCTCCCAAGATAAATTTTTATAAATAAAATTCTTGATAGATTTAATTTTTCAGTCATGTCACTGTTCAGTTAAGTCATTGGAAATGGAAATAATTCCTTACAATTTAAATTTCTATGTTTTATATGATTAGCATTTTTAATTTTTTAACTTTTAGTTTTTTACATTTTTCTAATTTAAAGCGCAGTATTGGCATAAGAATGAACAAAAAGGTTATTAGAATAGAGTTGGGAGCATAGAGACAGATCTACATCTATATAAGAACTTCGTGTATGAAAATTGATCAACTTTTGGAAAAAATAACATTGCATTCTATAGCAAGACAGATTCTTAGTGGAAGAAATAAATAAATGTAAAAAAAATCATGCATGTAGAATAGAATATGATGATTTTTATGACCTATGGATAAAAATGTCTTTCTAGTTATAAAACCAAAAGGAGAATCATAAAGGAAAAAATTTACAAATTTACTTAAAATATTTAAACTTCAAACTTCAATGTGATAAACACAAAATGCAAAAACAACAAACCATGAAAAAGCATATGATACGAAGTAATACTAGAAAAAGGGTTAATATCCTTGTATATTTTTAAAGTCTTGAAAATCAATAAGAAAAAGACAGAATACCCCTGATAGAATATGGACAAAAAAATACAAAAGCAAAACCACAAAATTCAATAAACATATAAAATGTTGACCCTCATGAATAATAAGATAAATACAAATTTTATAAAATAATGTTTAAAGCAACTAAGGATATTTCACATATTTTTCATGGTTTTCTGGAATGGGTGCTGCTATACATTAAGGAGGTGTAAGTAGGCACACCTTTTGTGGGATGCCTTTTGCAAATATATATCATAAGACTCAAAATATCCACATCTCTACCTCTTAAACAGGAAATGATCAGAGAAGTATGCAAAGATTTTATACAATTACAGGGATAACATTAACAAAAAAACTTAAAACAGGCCAAATGTCCAATGAGAGTAATACTTTAAAATTTTATGATAAATATCTACTGGGTGCCTACTACGTGTAAAAACCAGTGTCAGATGCTCAAATCATTTATAGAATCATGGACTATCATGATATCATTAAAAATAATGTTTTTGAAGAATGTTTAATGATATGGAAAAATGTGCATAATAAAATATTATGTAAGAAAAAAGAAAGATCCCAAACTGCATATAAAGCAAGATTCAAAAGATTTAAAGGAAATATACCAAATGGTAACTGTGTAGATCTCAGGGTGATGGAAATATGGGTGGTTTCATCTTTCTCTTCTATTTTTCTCTATTTTTCTTGTATTTCATCAATCTAAGTAAAACTGTTAATTTAATCTTTGTTAAAGAAAAATCAATGTCTATGTAAGATGTAATGTCAAGATAAAAGTATATGTTTGTATCTACTTAAGAAACATTGTAATAAATTAGGCTAATCTATTATATATATATTTTTTTCATTAAACAGATAGGTGTTGAGTGCCTCTGCTATCACCAGTTACTGTTTTAGACCCTGCAGATACTAGTATACTGCAGCGAACAAGGGAGTAAAGGCGCTTTATATCATTCAGCAGGGGTTGGGGGTGGGGTGATGGGAAAGGGGAGAGTTTACATTCATCTTCTTTCCCTTTATCAAGAAATGGCAGCGATGTGTGTGTGTTGCGGGGTGGGTGGAGGTTGAGGGTGCTGCTGTTTCTGTGTAGTCTTGTGAATATGCAATAGGAAATCCAATCCTTAACTTTGACATTGCTTTTTGCTGTAATGTGAGCATGCTCAATCAAATAAATAACCAACCATGAGACCAAGTCTAGAAACACACTTTTGCTCATATGGTACGAAACATAACTGCTATCCTGGTATTAGGCAGCCGTGCACCATTGAAGGTCTATGCTCAGAATTCTGGGCAACATAGACTGCTGAAGGAACAGAGCTCAGAGGCTTGGACTGGCTAATCTTATTTTCAGGAACCAATAACGGAGCTCTTAATTTTTAATAACTGAATTTACAGGTATCTGATGCCTGAGGTCACTTAGGATGCAGGACTTATTCATCTGTTTGTTTATTGGTTCTTAAATATCAATTAATTTCCTTAATGGTAGGATGCTGGGAAAGGAAGATGGGGACGGTGGTCCTTAATTGCATTTGTTTATCGCTTACCTCTTTATAAACAAAGTTATAGTGAGCTTAGAGTAAAAATTAAAAAACAGTTTTTTGAAGTATAAAATGGCAAATACTAGGAGTTTCATTGTATTAGGAGCACACACAAAGTACATACAAGTGAAATCTTGGAACAGTTCTTATAACAAACATCCAGGCAGTAGACAAACTAGAGATTTCTGGAAATAGGCAGGAAAATAATAACTGCTGGGTTCTAATTTAAAGAAACTCTGATTCACATTAACTACCAAGAGAAACCACACTCAGCCAGTTCCTTAAGACACGGGAGCCCACAACACAGAAGCTGGTGCTCTGCAACCAGTCGAGAAGCACAGGACAGCTGCTGAGCTGTTTCAAAGACAGTCATATCTGTGTGGCACACTCTTCCAGAAGGTTACAGGGCAACTTTCCAGCCACTTACATTCACTGATGATTTCCAGGGAGGGTAGGAAGTACTCATCACAGACAATAGATATGGCCATGAACATGTAAACGATAATTAGGAAATAGATTATGATGCCTCCGTCTCTGCGCTCTTGTCTCGTGAAAAACCCTTCGGGAAACTCTGATGATGGAGAAATAACACATTGGGTGCTATTTCCTGTTAAGGAAAAGGAGGTGAAAGTTTGAAGAGTTTGGAGTCACACATTTCAAGCCCACAGAGAGCTTCCTTAAGAAATCTGTAAGTGTGGGGTAACCGGGTGGAATTTTAAGAACTCACTGAAAATGTATAAAGCGCTTCTGAATATAACACAATTGTAGAGTTTTAAAAAAATTTTTTGGGGGACTGAAAAGAGATATCTTAATGAAATATGTTGACGATGGTGAAGAATTAAAAAGAGGAAATCATGAGAACACTCCTCCTCGTTTTTATTTCTGAATCTCTCCTCCCCAAGTAGAAACTGTATCTCCGATACATGAAGATTTCTATTATCTGTACAATTCCGTTTTCTCATTGCAGAGCTTAAATTGTTCACAGGCCTGCAAAAAATCATCTGCTGTTGCAGAGAGAATTTCTAAGATGAAAGTTTTTTTTTCACCAAAAAGTCTCCAAGAATAAAAACTGGAGACTTGGCCTACTATGATCTCTGTGAATTACTTTGGAGTATATTTAAGAACTTATTTGAAGGATCAAAAGTGTTTGATATCTTTTTAAATGCTAAAATTCAGAAGCATAAGTAAAAGCGAGCCCATTGAGAATTTTCCTGTTTTTGTCCCTTCATCTGCATGTGGTAGCAGCAGCAGCTGCTGCTGCAGCAGAGGTAACTGACCCCAGTGTCCACCTACCTGTGGCCCTTGGGAGACGCTGGGGCAGGGAGGCCCCTGGGACAGGCAGACGTGCAGTGGCCCACAGGATGCCGAGCAGCAGAGCCCTTCTTGCCCATGTATGGCCCCTTTTCGTCTGCATTTCTGCTGTGCTCTTACTGCAGTGTGCAGCTTCAGGAAGGGAGAAGAGGAGGATTAAGCTGGATCATGTGAGGAGTCTCCTTCCTGCCCAATACCCTGCCCAGGGCACATCTCAGCAAGGCCAGCACGGGAGAAAGGGTGAGTGCAGCCAGCCAAGCTTCCCTGATCAGGAGACCCAATCTCCAGGAAGGCCGGAGGAGACGGAGGAGAGCCGACAACCATTGTCTATCGCTATTTCCATGGCCTACAGTCTCTAAGGGCAGATTAAGGCAGCTTGTACTTTATGAAAATGCGTGGTTTTATTTAACGTCTTCATACTGGCTCTGCTTTTGACTTTCTCTAGATTTGTAGAAAGTTGGGTTTGCAACTGCTTCCCATCTCTCTCCAGCCCTTTCTCCTGGAAGTTGTTGGGGTTGATATTAATATATGTACATGCTTTGGCTAGCTTGGCATCCTTTCATATTTCTGTTTTAGCCTCTCATCTTCATCTTCAGTTAGGGCCAAAGGGAGAAAGGCCAGTTAGGACGTTACTGCAATCATCTAGCTGGGAAATGATAGTGGCTTGAACCAAGGCAGTGGCCATGGGGATGGAGAGTAGCCGACAGTTTCAAGAATTATTGAGACGGAGTGGATGCTATTTGATCATTGATAGACTGTGTTTTCTGCCAGAGGGAGCTATCTAAAATGCAAATTTGACATAGCAGGTACTGTTTAAATATAGACTACTATCTTCCCTACTCTAACATTTATGAGGCTTGCCAAGATATTTAGAACTTTTGGCAGTGTAGTAACCTATAGCTAATAACACAGGTTACGGAACCAGACTACATGGTTTGAGCCCTAGCACTGCTACTTACTAACTTACTTGACTTTTGGCAAGTTATTTAACCTTTCTGCTGCACTGTTCCACTATCTGTAAAACAGGGATCATCTGTATTTGGGTTGTGGTAAGACTTACAAAAATGAACCCAAATAATTTGCTTAGAATGACCCCTGGCTGATGTCTTCCTTCCTTCCTTCCTTTCTTTTTCTTTGTTTTGTTTGTTTCTCTTTCTCTGCCTTTCCCTCCCTCCCTCCCTCCCTTCCTTCCTTCCTTCCTTTCTTCCTTCCTTCCTTTCCTCCTCCTCTTCCTGTTTTCTTCTTTCTTTCTTTCTTTCTTTCTTTCTTTCTTTCTTTCTTTCTTTCTTTCTTTCTTTCTTTCTTTCTTTTTCTTTTCTTTCTTTCTTTCTTTCTTTTTCTATTGAAATAGAAGTGTTTTTTTCCATAAAAATTTTTGTAGTTTTGCAACTTTCATGGTTCCTTTGCTTTGCAGAAGAAACTCAAAGATTGATATGCCTGGTAAGTTCTCTATTTAGACACCAGCTCTATCTGACAGAACAGAGTAAGTTGCTTCCTGATGTCTGTGATCTTGGGTCGGAAACAAGTCTCAAACCCTCCTTTGTTTTGCTGGGAATGGGTATCCCTTATAAACCTCTCCCAAACCATCATTTCTAGGAACTAGATATTCAGATGTATGATGTGATTGTGAGGCTGGGATAATGAGTCACCAAAGCATAGCCCAGTATAGAGCAGATTCTCAACAAGCAGAGTCCCAGCTGTCTACACTCGCAGGAAGCAGCACCCTGATCACTGGAGAGTGGCCTAGGTGCCAGCTAGCTAAGACTAAGGGAAGAGGTCATTTAGTTTTGTGCTGAGTGGAAGTGTCTTGTGAGCCTCTCCTCTTCAACACACACTACTTCAATCAATTCATAAAACATCATCAACAAATAAAATTCCAATAATATAAAAAGCTCAAACCCAAAGTGAAAACTTCCAATGCACATTGTCAACTAATTCAAGAGAGAGAGCAAGTGTCTGAAGGTACAAGCCAATTGCAATGGAACAGCAGAAGTGCCTTGCACACAGTTGGTTCTCCATCAACATTTGCAGATTGATTACATTGCAATGATCTTGAAAACACATTGCCAGAACATGCTTGGTCTAAGCAAATTACCATTTAAACATGGATTTACCAAGAAAAGACAATTTAGGAGATGAATTAGATTTGCTTTACACACATTCTCCATTTTGCAAAAGCATCTTAAAGATCTTTTTCTTGTAAAATAACACACAGGTAAAGCTACATAAATGAATGGTTTATTATTTTATTATTATTTTTATAAGATGAACACCCTTGTAAACATCCAAGGTCAAGAAATAGAAATTTGCCAGCCACCCTAGAAGCCCCTTTGTGAGCCTCAGTCTCCTCTCCTCCCTTTCTCTGAAAGTAACCACTCTCCTGACTTGCAATCACTTCTTCATGTGTGTAGTTTTAATAGTCTGTGATCTAACTGAGTGCATCTTTAGGATACTATAACTTAATTTTGCCTTAAAAAGGTATCTTTTAACTTTCTTTTAATCTATAGGTCTCCCCTTTTTTTGTCTTCTGTTGCTTATAACTTGTCTCCGGGAAAAGCCCAGGGCATTTGATCTGTAGAGTCTCCTACAGTTTTGGTTTTGATGATGTGTCCTTGTGATATAGCTCAATATGTTCCCGTCTTCTATGTTTTTGTAAGCTGGTAGCTGGATGCAGAGGCTTGATCAGACTCAGTCCTATCCCTCTGGCAAGGCTATAGGTGGCGATGTGTTTGTTTACAGGAAGCACACTGTGTCTGCTCGTCTCTCTTCTGTAATGTGAGCAGCCACTCGTGCTCATTACTCCCATTAATTAACTCCCATTAATTCTTTGGGACTTGCGAAAGGGTGGTGTATTACTCATGGGCCTCTAGAGGGACAGAACTAATAGGATATATACCTATATGTCTATATCTGTAACATATATATATGTGTGTATGTACATATGGAGTTTATTAGGTAGTATTAACTCACATGATCACAAAGTCCCACAAGAGGCCATCTGTAAGCTGAGGAGCAAGGAAGCCAGTCCGAGTACCAAAGCTGAAGAACTTGGAGTCCAGTGTTTGAAGGCAGGAAGCAGCGAGCACTGGAGAAAGATGTGGTCTGGGAGGCTAAGCCAGTCTAGTCTTTTCATGCTTTTCTGCCTGCTTTATATTCACTGGCAGCTGATTAGATGGTGCCCACCCAGATTAAGGGTGGGTCTGCCTTTCCCAGCCCACTGATTCAAATAAATGTTACTTTCCTTTGGCAACACCCTCACAGACACGCTCAGGATCAATACTTTGTATCCTTCAATTTAATCAAGTTGACACTCAGTATTGACCATCACAGGTGGCATTCTAATTCTAATTTATTCTTCATCAGTGTGAATATTTTACAAAGAGATGATTTCGATCATCTACTCTTTGAATACCCAGGGGTATCCGGTTTCTGATTCTTTCTCTTTATTTATAGGTTTTCAAAACAATAAATTGGTTCCCTATTTTCCTCCATAAATAACCAATTAGATTAAGTTATTATGAATTAATGTATTTAAATATATTTGATGGGTTCCAATCAATTGCAATTATTATCCATGTTGAAGCTCAAATTGTCTCATCATTAGCCAGTAGGAGCCCCTTCAGCGTGATTTCTGAGCATCTTTGACATGATCTTAATCATCTTTGATAGCTTCCTCACTACCTGGTATAAAAAGATGTTCCAGGCTCATCTTATATATGAAATCATCCATTTCTCCAAAATCTTTATTTTTTTAAAGTGGAGTGTATTTCAGACTGCGGTCTAAGAATCTGGGTTGCTAGAGGTGCTCATTGAAACTGGGTTGGTTATTGTCTCTAAATCTCAGTCTCTCTCTCTCGGACACACACACGAACACACACACAGACACACAAACACACATTCCTACCTCTTAATAAAATACATCCTGAGCTATTACTGATACTTGGCATTCAAATTCGTGATGACAACTTTTTATTTTAATCTGAACTTTTTCTATACTAACTCTGTGTCCCCTTTCTTTCATAGCACACGTTGTGGTTCCCAAGAACACAGGAGATGACAAAATAGGAATATCCAAAATTTTTTAATTTATGATTTTATAATTATAATTTATAATTCATCAATATTGTTATTTCACACTGGTATATAGGTAATGGTACCATATTACCTATATACCTATATGTGGTACCCTTACCTATAT